AGGTGAGTGTGGTTATTTATTTAATTATTATGATCGATGACGACTTGCGATAAGTCAACCTCATATTATTCTTAAAATATGATTTATGATTTTAATTATGGATTATTTCCATAATATATTTATCAAATATATGAATTAATTAGGGATGAATTGTCCAAGTACGATTTCTATGCTGATAAATTTTAAATGTTTATGATATTAAGACATTGATTAACAAATAATTATATTATGATTTATAAGCCCACTGTATGTTGCATTGAGAGTCGTAGGTACATTTGACATGCCATTAAGTTGATTATTTTCAAGTTAAGTTATGGTACATTCATGTACATTATGTATTGCACTGTTGGTTCTTATGATATGATTTGCACTTGGAGTGCATCTTATGATCAGTTATGATTAGCACTGTGATGTGCGTAGTGTGCACCTTATGCTCTACTCATATACCTTATATTTTCTTAAATATACTTTGGGCTATGAAAATGAAATATGAAAGTCATGAACATGTTAAGTTGGCACAGAATATGTTATGTTTATGTTATCTGGTATTATATATCATGATTTCTATAAGAATATGGAACAAGTTGATTTTCAGGTTACGATGAAGTACTAGACTTGAATAAGTCGGTTTGAAAGTTTAACGTTTTGATTAAATTATTTTTAATGCTTTATTATATTTATGATATTTTCATTTTTATTTCATCTTAGTTTATTATTGCCTCACTAAGTTATACTTAGCGCATGATGATTTTCATGAGATAAGGACGTGCAGTGAGAAGCCTCCCGAGTATCTTTTTGCAGAACGTCTTCATTATCAGTATCAGTAAGACATTTTTTATGTTACTTTTGACTAGTAGTGACATGTATATGTATGTTATCAATATGCTTTATCAGTTTTATTTTAAATGGTCTATAATAATAAAATATGACCACTTTATTTTGATTAAACTAACTATATCCGTATTGATGAATGAATAAATTACCATATTTAAAATGGTTTTAAAACCTAGTAATGTTTAGATAATAATATATAATTTATGAAACAACATTAAACTTGTCTAATCACTGCCTAAAAATAGATTGGTTTTTTGATGTCAAAATATTAATTTATGATTTTAAGTGGTTAAGGAAATATTTTTAAAGTTGAAATAAAAATATTTTAAAACGAAACAAAATTTTAAGTTATTATGTTTATTGAATGTCTGTCAAGTTGATGTAATATATTTAATTCGTATTTTTAGACGTATATAGATTATAAGAGTACCGTAGAAAACAAGTTCAATTTCTGACGTGACAACACCGACGTATGTTATTAATGTGACATGTCAATAGGCCTCATACTACGAGGCTTGAGGTTCGTATAATTGATTGGGTTTATAAACCTTGCTAAAGGGGTTTCGAAACTATAAGTGATTTTTTGAAACTGTCTCATTGGGTTTCTAAACCCTGCTAAAGGGGTTTCGAAACTATAAGTGATTTTTTGAAACTGTCTCATTGGGTTTCTAAACCCTGCTAAAGGGGTTTCGAAACTATAAGTGATTTTTTGAAACTGTCTCATTGGGTTTCTAAACCCCCAAAAAACTCTTTAAAACCACGACTATTTTACACAAACCTATTTTGAACTCATTCGTATAACCTCATAGCAAACACAAACCCGACAAATCTCTGCCCCGAAGTCACGACTCCTCCTCCTCTGATCATAAATCACCGTTCGTCCTCTCCTTCATTCATTTCATCTTCACTCGTGGTATTTTTTCTTAACCTTAAATATTTTTTTCAATTTAAAACATTTTGTTGCTTTTAAATTTAAATTTATGACTTTATAATGATTTTAAATACGTCATTTTGAATCAATCGAGTTGTTTATTAGTGTTAAATATGCTTGTTTTAGCAACCCTTGTTTTTTAGGCTTGCCTACGAAGTGTTTGTAAAAAATCCCCAATGAAAATTTCCTGCACATACACTTATTTTTCTCACCTCCAATGGCTCTTAAACTTCCTACCAAATGCCCTAGGATCGATCAAGCTTTCAATTCTCAAGCTCTTGATCCACAATCTTTTGAAAGCCTATGCTTTCCTAATCTTGAAGCTCTTTCTTGTTACCACGCACGCTATATCACTCATCTTATTCGATCTGAATGTAATTTTGATGTGAATTTTCTTAGTTCGGGTGAGTATTAATTGAACTTTTACCGTACCATTCTTAATTGACATTGCATACGTTTCATCTCAATTGAACCTTCCATTCACCCTCAGCTTGTTCGAGTATTATTTTGCAATGCTACTTTTCTTAAGGAAAACCCTTCTGAAAAGTTTTTTAGAGTTCGTTATTTTCTTATGGGTGTTGAACTTGAGCTTACTCCCAAATCCATTGCTACAGATTTAGGCATTCCTTATAATGGTCTTTATAATGAGGAAACTTTTATTCATTTTAAACCTATTATAGGTGATAATCCCACCACTTTTGAATTTGACGAACGTTTTTTACACCTCTTCATCATTTGGTTCCTCCTTCATTCGAATGGTGGCACCACTCATATGCGCCACTTGGACTATTGGTGGCATTATCATTTTCGCACAAAAAATTGTCCAAAACAATACCAAAATCATCTTTCTTGACTTAGTGAACACAATCATCAAAAGAACCAATGTTACTGTCTCTTTACTTTCTGCGTGTGTTCTTAGTCACATTTTTTGTACCCATTTAATACTTCTTTTGATCCTCGCGTTCCCTTATCTAGTAAACTTGATTACGCATTGGTTAATAAAATGGGCTTTAGGCTTGAAAATCGAAATTGGATGAAAAAAACATGATGACATTGCTCCCGGTGATGATCTCGTCACTCATGGAGTCGATGCACCTATTGATGTTGTTCCTCCTTACCCTCCCGTCACTTTAGAGTCTCTTTTATGACTACATGTCTACTCATTTTGATTAGGTTCTTCATCATGTATACCCACTTGATGTTATAGGAACTCGTATTGACACTTTGGAGGTTTGTTTTCCATCTGAGGATTGATTAATTTCATACTTTGGATATTTTTATTTTAGATTTTTATGATATTGTTTAGTATTTTATTTTAGATATTCTGTTGGATATTTTCTATGACATTTGATTATGATATTTATGTTTTTTTATTATTATTGGTTATTCTTGGATTTATTGTCATTATGCTCTAATCTTGACCTCTCTTTCATAGCTAAATGATTTAGGATATTTTAATATAATTTTTTAATTACCATCTTTTTTAATAATCATTTTTTCTATTTTTTAAATTTTAATAAAATCTAATAATTAAAATTTTTTAAATTATAATTGTAGGATATTTTTAATAATTTTCATATTTTTTAAATATGATATTTTTAATTGTTATTTATTTTTAAAATTTATGATATCGCTGTCTACAAAACGCGATGCTCTTATAATAAATTTCACGATAAATTCAATTTCTTGGAGATCTTACGTTCTAGTCTTTTATCCAAATATTAAATTGAATTATATGAAAAGTTGTTCCACGTCGTATGGATCTTACGTTATGCAAAATGCGAGGTTTTTAAACGCTTTTTATAAAACACGATATATTCTTACATGGGCCATTTGACTGTCATTTTACCAAATGATTCTGGATAAGGTTATTTTGTAATAAATTAATAAAAAAATGAATAAATTTGCCATTTAAACTATTAGGGTATGATTGATTGATGGTGATCATCCTTAGGGGGATGGGTGAATAGGGTCCTTTGAGCCTTCCACCTAAGTTTAGTAGGGCGTTTGTTTAGGGAGACGGGGGTTGATCATATCCCAAGAATGCATTTATAAGGCATTGCTCATTGTTGGATTTGGTTTCGTCATCGTTGCTTTCTTGAGTAAATAATCAAATGATCGAGCCAGACATAGATTCACTCGTCTCGGTCCGTTTTCACTCTTCGGCTCCCTTAATGCATGCAGGGAAAGAAGATTAAGACGATTGATTGGGGTTTACGAGATCTGAAACCTATGACCCATCGGTTATTCAACGTACGTTGATCAGTAATTTAGGACGATTCAAATACTACAAAATCAGGAGTTCATTGCCGAATGTCTAGTACTCGATAAAATCTGCCTTTTTATAATATGGATAAAATCTAATACTGCAATTATATGAACAACTTTGCTCTCCTTTTTACAACTGCTGATCAGTTTGGGCCACCTAGTGGTAATTCACAAGGAGATTCAAATACTACAAAATCAGGAGTTCATTGCCGAATGTCTAGTACTCGATAAACTGATACCAAGTCCAAATATTTCAGGGTTGCTACATTTCCTCCAATGACAAGTTATTTTCAATCGAATCAGAGGCATGCTCTGGTTTAGTGGGCTTAGCTTCAACTCTGGAATTGTTAATGGGGCCCTACTCAACAGGTTCTTCCGACCTGTCATTTAATTTGAATGGTCTTTGGAAATCTTTAGCATTTCTACCGTCCATAAACAGATTGTTAAACTTCTCCTCCAGCATACAAACAATTCAATTTTTCAAAAAGGTTAAAATGTGCAGACAGGACGTACAATGAATAAGGCTTAATTAACCGTTTGGGTACACAGAAACTTCAATCAGTAAGCCTGCAGATGTGAATCCCCAACACATTATGCACCTGCCCCCCACCCCACAAAAAAAAGCCTCATTTAGGATAAGCACAAATGTTTTACCAACTTATTAGCTTCACGTGTGCAGAAGTCCATCAAACATGTTGCAGTTGCTAAATGTTAGTGCAAACTAATCTAGTCCATTAATCTGTTATCATCCAAAACTACTGATGGAACTACATCGTTGACTATGCAGACAACGTAACCTAATTACTTTGGCTACAGAAATTGTCAATAATATATAAGCCATCTATCATGTGAGAAACTTGATAGTAATATTTAATTGCCACTGCAAAACTTATAAAATTAGTTACTTTTTGTACTACTTTAAGCTTTCTCTGCAGTGCATCATGTTCAGAGCAACAACCACAATTGTAATTGTAATACACAATCCCAGTGCAAAGTAGTTTTTGGGAAAAAATTTCATCTGAGACGAATGAAATGGGCAGGGTTCTTCATGCTAGACTCAGAGTTCCTAGTAATTCATACAAATACCATCTCTACTGGTTTTACCGGCATGAAAATGAAAGCAATATGACAAACAATAGCAGTAATGGATTCCTGAAATAAGGCAAGTGTGGGTGTTTGGTATCATACTGGAGTAATCCTTCGCACCAACAGAGGAGCCGATGTTGGAACACTATATAGTAAAATACTCGCGTAGGCTCAAAATCTAAACTATCAATAACGTTTAGGGGGTGTTTGGTTCAAGGATTGTGGAATTCCCATGGGATTCCCATGGGAATCCCACATTCCCATTTTTGGTTGGCCGAGAATCTCATTCCTGGTAATGTTTTATTACCAATAGTAAATTTTTTTGGGTATATTACCGGAAATGTCATTACCTCAATTCCCTTAGGTATTATAACATTACCGGCGTTTTGGACTAAAATGCCCATAAAATTTTATTTTTTTTCAAAAATATCCTTCTTCTGTCATTGAATAATAAAAATTTTACGAATGTTAAATTACAAATTTATCCTTCAATTATTTTAGATTTACAAAAAAAATCTATAATTAAAATTTTATATGAAGTTCAGAGGTTAAAATTTTTTTTACCCTTTCATTAAACATTTTTTTATATTTTTAATTTTGTAAAAAAAATATAAATATTATGAATTTAATTTTTTAAAGAAAATATATAAATATTTTACAATTTGTAATATTATACAAATATATAATAAGGACAATTTGGTCAAATATACATTACAATAATTTTTTATTCCTTTAACCAAACACGGTAATTTTACATTCATGCTAAACCAACCAAACACAAAATACAACATTCCTAGTAATCCTATTTCCTGGTAATTTTTTATTCCCTGATAATTTTACATTCCGTGAACCAAACGTACCCTTAGTCTGTTTGGAATTGGAATACAGAACCGTATGTGAATATTACCAGGAAAACAACGGGAGGAAAAGCTGTAATAGATTCCTGAAATAAGGCAAGTGTGGGTGTTTGGTATCTACCACCAGAGTACTTTCGCTGTATCAACAACCTCGTTCTGGGCACGATTGTCCTCCTCGGAGCTCATTGAATCGTTAATAGCTCTCATCGAAAACGTTCTATTAGGTGTTAAGAGGAATCCAGTTGATCCGTTGGCTTAGACAATGCCTATGATGTAGTAGCAACAATGTTCCATTTGAAGAACCCGGTGCTTCCACCCCCAAATTGAAGGAAAATACAAAGCAAATATCAGAGAATTCACCGAGAGAAAGAAACCCAATTCAATGGAAGCATATATAAAGGCAATAAAATAAAATATTTGGGAAAATTTGGGAATTACCTGGAAGGGAAGGGAGAATTGAAGAAGCCAAATTGATGCCATTGTGTTTAGGAGATTGAGATATCCTCACACTTAAACAAAAAAAAAGGATTAATTTCAGTCGCCTCCACATGATGATGATGATTAATTGAACAATAAAAGAAAAACGATATAGGATACAGCAAGCAAAGGGCAACAGTGCAGGAGCAGCTGAGTAAAACCCCATCCCCAATTTCGAAGCCTGTCTTTGGGTTTAGCTTTGCGCTTTTGCCATTCCCCCCGGATCAGTATTCAGAAGTGTAGGGATGCAACGGGCGGGCAGGTTGGGTTTTTGGCCGATCCAAATCCGACCCGATATCATGCCAACAAAATTCGGTTTCGCTTTAATCCGACTTTCAAAATATGTTTACCTGTTTTATATTTTTCCTAATTAATTTAACATGATTTTTTTTAATTTTTTACATATTTTATCAGATAAAAAACTAATCAAATAAAATATTAGTTTTTAGTTTAATAATATAAAATTAAAATAAATTTTAATTTAATATTATGCTAGTACTTTATATATTTTTTACATATATTTTTATCAAAATAAATGATAATATAAAAATTATTTTAAAAATATTCTTTCTAGTTATCTCGTTCTCTCCAATTTACACTCAACTTGAAACAACCTAATTTTTTTTTCTTAAAAGAAAATTAATTCAATTTTAAATTTAACTCTACCAACATAGCAAAGCCGATTCCCCCCATAACTTTAGCAATGAAATAAATAAACAAGCATGATAAAGGATTTATTTGTCCAAATTCGATTCATTTACCATCTTAGGAGGCGAACTCTTCTCCCTTTAGATGGAGCATCCCACCTACCATGGAAACGTAGGTTGCATTTCCACACTGCTAGCATTTACCATTCTCAAGGCAAAACATTTGACTGGCAATTGCAGAAGAAAATGAATCCACAATTTAAAAAGAAAATAATTAAAGACCCATCCATGATATTAGTGGGTTTCTTTCTACTAATAAGCCTCAACAGGGCAATGTCTGCTTCCACCCAAATCGAAATGATCGTTACACATGTCTATTGCACATTCAAACTCGCATTACACATCTCACCACTACATGTGGTAGATCTCGTGCATTCTCACAAATCAAATCTTACATTCCATCTACCATTCATGTCAGCATTGAGGGTCCAATTATTTTCCCTAATCTGCAGATATGGAACCTGAAAGAGGAACATTCACCAAGCAAAAAACAAAGAAGCAGGTAAAACAAAGGAATTTACAAGTTCTCATGAACGGAAACAAAGCATGGATTTCTTCCTTGGAGGGTCGAGCAAAAATCGACTCAAGAGTTCTGGTTAATGGTATTGAAAATGATTACTTTCGACAAAGGAAATAATTTCAGGTTAAAGAGAAATACAATGCACTTAGGATGTAACGATCAGAAGGCTTGCATTGGGGAGGGATAATATGACAGTATAGCAATATTCATAGTAGGCGCTACATCTTACAAAAAACATTATAAAATGGTATTACCTTCTCAAGTACTTCATAACCAACTTTGAGTCTAACATCTTGGTCTCTCCGGAAATTCAATATTTTATAAGTAAATTCAGCAGCTCCTTCCGACTTCCTCTGTAGTAATTGCATAAACTATCAGCAAAAGAAAGCTAAAACTACACATAAATTACTTGAGTACTCTCACAAAAGAATCACCAGATTAAAGGAAGCTTAGGTGGTATTTTCCCAATCAAAGATGAAATCGAAGAAACAGGTGTTTAAAATGTACTCATGGGTGAAAAAAAAACAAATCACACAAACCAAATATTGGCAAAATTAAAGGCTGAACCTACCCCCTTGAATTCTTGATCAACATCATATCTTCCCTTGACAACGAAATTCACCGAATCATCGTTGGTTACCAGAAAAGATTTTTTCCCTCGCAGCGTGTACCGCACCTTTTCACGCCTATCATAGCGCAATCCTACACCAAGGCTTGTAGACAACTACAGAACATTATCAAACACATTATTAAACTGGGAAAAGAAAAGATCCAAATTTGCAAGAGAATGCTCTTAAAACAAGAGCATAACCATTAGGGATAACATACATCAGCATAGAAGTGCCTCATCATTGCACAAAAGTTATTGGGGACTCCAGTTTTTGTGTCCAGCTCGCCTTGAACCTGACATATAAAATGATAGATACAAAGATTTATCAAATAAAATGGACTCAATATGCGTATGTATGTCGAATTATCCCGTATAAAAGGGTGAGAAGACCTAAAATAGGGTCATTTTTGGGTATTTGGAATATCCGACTAACATTCACGGCCAAATCTCAAATCCTACTGGTGAGAGAGAAGAAAAGAACAAAGAGAGAAAAATCTCAAATTCTATATCTCTCAGAACAGAATTCAAATAAGCAATCCACAAAAAGCTGGAAAGAAACAGAGAGTGAAGTTACAATCTAGAATAATCTAATCGAGTTTAGTACAGGAATACAGTATCTTTAAGAAAAGAAAATGGAAGAGCAAAATCAACAAAGTAGAAAGCTTTTAGAAGCATACGTACCTGCAAATAGGTTTTGGAGTCGATGGGGAACTTCTCCTTGGCGTGGACTCTTAGAGCTTTGGAATCTCCACTGTATCTCAACGAAGTCTCCATTTTTTCCTTCTTTGTTTCTGATTTTCCTATCTTTTTAATAGCGTCCAGACTCCAGTGGTTGTCTTCCAGCCTTTTTTATGCTCTACGCTATGCACGGCCAAGATGATAAGATAGGGCTGGCTGGGCTAACCTTTTATAAGTCTCGATAATTTTTTAAAAATATTTTTTATTGATATAATAACTTTATTTTAAAAGGTAATCTAAATTATTATTTTTTATTTTGTTTTAGTATTCAAACTTTATTTTTTAAAATAATGTCTAATGTTTAGTAGGTTTTAATTTAGCACATGTCGTTTAAAAATTAACAAAATTATTAGCATGATATTTTTTCAATAATTATATGGTATTATCTTATGGTGATATATCAATATTACTATTAAATTTTTAACGGTGGGTACCAAAATAAAATTTTAATTAAACATTATGTATGATTTTGAAAGAAAATAAAGTTTAAGTGATAAAATGAAACAAAATAAAGTTTAAGTGATAAAATGAAACAAAAATAACAATTTAGGTATTAAACATGTTGTTTATCCTATTTTAAATTGTTGGTTGAGTATATCTAATTTTATTTTTTATCGTTGCATATTTTAAAAAATATTTAAACATTATTCATTGATGATAATAAAATATTACCAAAACAATATTATTTGAAAATATAAGAAGGAACTATTAATATTTATCTTTTAAGTAATGTAACATTCTATGAGATGTTATATTTTGAATAATTTTATTCTTAAATTTATTATATTAAGTTAATCCTTTTAAAGTAGACATATTGATATATTAGATTAAAATATTTCAAATTTAGCTATACTTATTTCAATTCAATGATAAAATATATATAAATATTAAGATAGAAATATATTTTTCTAATATTTAAACAAAATTGAATAATTTAGATAGGATAATTTCAAGTGAGATAACTCTAAGCCGTCCATTATACTATAATATATTAGGACAAAAACATACCGAGCCCATTTCAAAAGCAACGGGCAGTGAAGTTACAGCCTAAACATTCATACAAATGAATGCTATTTCATTTTCACCACCTACTGCTTTTTGCTGCTGAACATTGTTCTTACAGATTCTTCTTATGTCGTTATCAAAAAGTAAATAGTGGTTAGATTATGTCGTGACTCATATAATTGAATCGCAGAAAACCCCGGGGGATAACTTCAAAATGCATTGCTAACTAACTGTTTGATTTTTGTAAAGCTGATTCATTTCAGTCTCCTCTGAAAGAAAACCTGTCCTGAATTGACTGACAACTAATTACCTTAAAAAGCTTGGAACCTACACCCTGCAGCAGAAATTAACATGCCGCAGAAGAAGGGTATGAACTCAATGCCCTGGTCTAGCATTTTTAGTCTGAAACCCATTATCAGTACTAATGGGACTGCTTCTTCCACTGATGTTACTGCCAGACAGTTGATCAGCACTGTATGGATGATGCCTAGAGCCTACAGGAGGAAGGACGGATGAGGTTGCTTTAGCTTTGGCAGCTACTTTAATCGCCTCGTTAGAATCCAATTTTGCAAGTTTCCATGCACTTATCCGGACAGGATGTTGGGGCAGTCTTTTACCCTTGTCTGGTGACCGTACAGCATCCGGATCTACTGTGGATGGTAAGCGACCCGGGTCCAAATGTGGGATTATTTCATCCTTTGTGAGAAAACAAATTAATCAGTTATAACTTTTATCGTATAACCGAAAATCCATGACAGATGATCACCCTAAGAGAGACTGCAGGCATCTTAAATTCATATTTGTAATGTAGCCACAATTTGCATGCGACATTCATTATCCATTTTTGATAGCATACACCACCATCAATATAAAATGACAGTTTTCATGTTTAGTAGGTAAGGAAGTGGTACCTGGAGGTCCATGAAGATTCTAGGTGGGGTATACCAAGCACCTTTGTATTGCAAGCTCCTTCCAAGAGAGCTTCTTCCGCTTATGGCAGTCACAGCTGAACTGGTAGGTGACGATGGCATACTCTGCTGATATTCATCATCTGCAGACTGTCCAGGTGGTTCACTTTGCGCTCTCATTGCAACAACATATTCATATGTAGTGATACCCCGCAGTTAGAAATGAAAATGGTTCAATATTTACATATTAAGACAGTATAAGAGAGAGGGAGTTCTAAAGAAACACCTTTCTGATCAAAATTATATGGAAAAAGAACAGTTCTCCCAGAAGCACAATTGCAAGAAAACAAACAGCAGTGCAGAAGGCCTGTGATCATTTGTATAATGTTAGGCAAAACCCATGACAACCGAGGTTTTCATTCATTCTTAGAGAAGTGAACACTAGCGGTAATGTATTTCAACCAGTCTCAGGTAAACAAGCATATATAATTATAGAACATTTAGAAGCACCAACCACACAATTCACATTTTAGAACTAGGAATTTTGTTTTTCAATACCCACGAGAATCAGAGCTTTAAGTCAAAATCCACTTTCTAGAGCTTGCAAAATAGATCCAAAACGAGAAAATAAATCAAATACAAATACTCTACAATCAAGCATCTTTGGTACTTGAAAATGACTAAATCAACAATGCTAAATTTTCTCAATCAATCAAGGTGCTCTCTCACAAGCATAGTAATACTACAGAAACAATCTGAGTTCTTAGGAAGAGAATGCAGAGAACATACCACCACAATAGCAGAGGGGGTACGGGAGAATCCAACTCCGAGCTTCTCGGTTATATCACTTTCTGTACCTTTTCTATCAGTAAAACATCGCACAAAGACAGCAATGCCAACTCCAAATTCAACCACATACATGCATATGTGAAGGCACATAAAAATAAGTTCAGTTCTTGTCAGGAGATGCCAACGAGTGACATGAGCCGTTGTCCAAAAGTTATCCTAAGAACTTACCCAAACAAGGCTATCTGCCATCAAGCACACAAAACTGATGTAATTTTTCCTGCCCAAGCAATTATTCAACCACTGGATAAAATGGTAAAACAGTTTAGTCATGGCCAAGACCACATGAAGTTCTAAATCAGTACAAAAAGGCAGGATTGTTTTCAGAACACTACTAAGAAATCACAAGTTATAGAGCAAAATGCAGACTTCAGCAAATGGCCAAGGCACTATAATTAGTCAACCAGAAACCCTAGGTGCTTTCCAGTCCAGTAACATAACTTAAACGTTCAAACTATTCGATTCTCGATAGTAGTTCTCAAAAAACAAGAAATTTACCCAAGAAAATTATGAAATGGAAAAAGATGAATATTTGATAACTCACTCGACAATGAAGATCAAATCGATCAACACATTTTTCACAACTTCTACAATGCTTGATGAATTTGCGCACCTGCAAAAGGTGAGTTGGAAGGGCATGAAGAGTTATTATAGCTCAAAAACATGCGATCAGAAAACAAGCTTCTTCCAGATAAAGCAAAATATGAGCAAGCCAGTTGTTTCATTAGTATGTCAATTCTTAAGAATTAATATGAATACAACCCTCGGGATATTCTTGCTTGAAAAGCACGGAGGTGTCTATTCAGATACAAGTAAATGAGCAGAACGTAAAGGGGAATTTCGTAAAGGGGAATTTCTTTTTCACATATAAGAAGTGAAAGCTATATCAAGAATTTTTTTTTTTGTGTCTAAGCATGGACTATTTCCTGTTGCTAATTTTATAAAATTAGCTTTCATTTTCTTTCTCTTTTCTTGTTTTCATTGAAAAGGGAGAAAACAGTGAGAGGAAACAAAAGTTTTTTTTTTGGGAAGGGGGGAGTGGCTCAGGAGTAGGGAGAGGCTATCCTAGTAGAGTGACCCTTACTTCTGCATTACACAATGTGCAGAATGAAGCATCTTCTTCTCCAGATTGTTGCTGCAAAAGGTCTTCATCTTTGCAGCAATCTTCTTGTACGATGCAAGCACAAAAGAAACCTCCAAGTTTGGAACACCATCGTGAACTATGCCTATTATATTCACTTCCATACTTTAATCCTATCCTGCAAGGTTCTTTGATAGAAGATGCATTCTCTGGTTAAATAGCAAGAAATCTATGGTTAATTGAGACGAACAATAGACTACAGTCTACACAGAAGCTCATATCTTAATACAGGAAACTATTAAAAAAATTCAAATGACAATTCTAACCATCATCCAATTAAGTTCACAATTATCATGCAATCTATTAACAAAACCATACATAAAAATAATCAAAGGTTACCTACCTGGCAGATCCATTTAATTGTGTGATTTACAAACTGATGCCTTGTCAGCTTCAAGGAGAATTCCAGAATCACAAGGGTCAATGGCAGTTCATCCAACATACAGGATGAGACAGAGGGTGCCTGAAAATTAAATCAAGCATTAAGTTAATAATTAGGAAAGCAATTAAAGAAGTTTTATACGTTATAGTGGTTACCATGATAGAGTAGACACCAATAGCCACATATTCATAGATATTTTTTCCAAGAAAGGGAGCAAAGAAGGCAAAATATGAAACCGATAGCAAAAAGAAAACGGTAATGGCCACAACCTGTACACCATTTAGAAAGGAAAAAAGGATAATGAGTGGTTGTTGAAAGAGACATGCAAGAATTTATCACAAAGAAATAAGCCAGCAATATGTAATGATACTAAGGACACAAAAAACCACCATGTTTAACACCATGTCTGCCATGGCTTCATGGAATATACGACTTCATCTAAAGTCGTGACCAGGTTTCAAATTGCTTTATCATATTGGTAGTCTTAGTAATTACCTAACTGCTCATCAAAAGTAGGTGTCGCATTGCAATGAAATAACTTGGTAGCCAGAAAATGAACGATAATTAAACTAAAATTAAAACTTATTAGCATAAAATTTCAACTTTCTTTTGTACTTCCAAATGCAAAGAGATACATTAATTTGACCAACTGTGCATATTCCAGGAAGATGAAAATTTCCCCAAGTAGCATTATTTACATGAAACGGTTAATAGGATCAAATAAAAGAAATTCACACAAACATCCATAAACATGGGCTTAGTCATCAAAAATTCATAAAGTCACGACCCACAAAATCATTATACACACAATCAATAAAAACT